CCTCCAGCGTGTCCCAGGTCTTCCCTGGGGCCTCCTTCCCGTGGGACATGCCTCCTTTCAATGTGAAGGAGCAGCGGCTCTACTCCAAGCTCCTCACCCTATCTTTAAGGGAGTGCCCAGTCACGCTGCGGAGGAAACTCATTTCGACCGCTTTTATCCACGATCTCGTCCTTTCGGTTATTACCCAGAGCTCATGACCACAGGTGAGTTTAGGAACGCAGATCGATTGCCAAATCGAGAGCTTCGCCTTTCGACTCAGCTCCCTCTTCACCACATCGGTCTGATACAGTGACCGCATCACTGCCGACGCTGCACCGATCCGCCTGTCAATCTCACGCTCCATCCTCACCTCACTCGTGAACAAGACCCCGAGATACTTGAACTCCAACACTTATGGCAGGGACTCTCCACTCTACTCGATTTTTTTTTTTGCGGGGGAATTGGACAAATGTGTCTTATCCTAATACAGATATATTGTGTAAGCAGCTCTTGAGGTTCACTGTGCACTGCCTGCATCTCATTATAACATCATGAGTTTTCAACAAAAAGGTGAGAGTGACTAACTGAAAAACGTGCTTGTTTAAGCGCACAAACCAGCTCACCTGTTGTAATCCGATTCTTTCTGGTCAGAGGGAATGTTGATATCAGCTGCAAAGTATCAAAAAATCAGGTACAGCACCTTTTTAAAGTTAGTTTTAGTTCAATATTGTGATTTAAAATACCCAAACTATAATGATCTATGGGTGTCATACTTTATAACTACAGCAGAGTCGAGCACAATCTGTCTTCTTTAAACTTTGTGCTCTTTCTCTGCAGTACAGCTGGAGCTCTGCAGTATAACTTCATAACTAGGCCATCTCTGTGTCTCCTATAGAAGCAGTTGTTTGGCTCTAATGACTGTACAGTACATAGCAGCCTTTCATCTGCCCGTGTAGCAGGAGTAGCTGTCCTACATTAGTGCGCAACTTCTTCTGCACCCACAAAAGGGATTGCAAGTCGTTTCACAGTGACACGTTAAAGGTCCTGTAGTACACGAAATGGACCCTTGTGAGGTTTAAGATGTGTTATACTCAAGAATGTACCCGGAGTTGTGTTTTATTTCATTCTACTTTTTACTTTTAGTTCAGTAGAAATTGGGAATTCCTGGGCTGAAATGATCCAAATGATTCGTGTGTGTACGGATTAAAAGTATTAGTAGTCAGGTGAGTACTGATAAGTGTAGTAGAAGTAATCTCGTAGTAGTAGTGGTAGTTGATAAGTGATAGTTGGCTGTAGTAGTGGTAGCGACCAATCTATATCTAGTGAGAGTAGTAGTGAGAGAGCCAATAGGTCGTAAGAAGTAAGCAGTGGTAGTGATGGTAGTAGTAGGAGTATTACTAGCCTGATGAGTGCTGATAATAAGCATAGTAGTAAAAATATTCTTGTAGTGGTAGTAGTGATAGTTGATGGTAGTAGTAGTGATCGATCTATCTCTCGGTCTATCGGTAGTAGAAGACATAGAAGGTAGTAAGAAGTAGTATTTGTTGCACTAGTTATTTCAGTCGCCGTAGTAGTTGTAGTTGTAGTAGTTGTTCTTGTAGTAGTGGTTTCAGTAGTGGTTGTGGTTGTGGTTGTAGTAGTTTCAGTAGTGGATGCAGTAGGTGTTGTAGTAGTTGTAGTAATTGTTGCAGTTGTTGTTTCAGTAGCTGTTTCAGTAGTTGATGTAGTAGTTGTAGTAGTTGTTTTAGCAGTTGATGTAGTAGTAGTAGTTGTTGCAGTAGTTGTTTCAGTAGTTGCTGTAGTTGTTGTAGTTGTTGCAGTTGTTGTAGTAGATGTTGTTCTAGTAGTTGTTTCAGTAATTGATGTAGTTGTTGTAGTTGTTGCAGTTGTTGTAGTTGTAGTAATTGAAGTAGTTGTTTCAGCAGTTGATGTAGTAGTTGCTGGTTGTAGTTGTAGTAGTTGAATAAGTAGTTGCAGTAGTTGTTGCAGTGGTTGATGATGTTGTAGTAGTTAAAGTAGTTGTTGCAGGAGTTGTTGCAGTCATTGCTGAAGTGGTTGTTGCAGTAGTTGTCGTAGTAATAGTTGCAGTAGTTGTTGCAGTAGTTGATGATGTTGTAGTAGTTAAAGTAGTTGTTGCAGTTGTAGTAGTATTTGCTGTTGTAGTAGTTGCTGTTGTAGTAGTTGTAGTTGTTGCAGTACTTTTTTCAGTATTTGTTGTAGTTTCTGTTGCTGTAGTTGTAGTTGCTGTAGTAATAGTTGTAGTTGTTGCTGTTGTAGTAGTTGAAGTAGTTGTTTCAGCAGTTGCTGTAGTAGTTGCTGGTGTTGTAGTTGTAGTAGTTGAATAAGTTGCGGTAGTTGTTGCAGTAGTTGTTGCAGTGGTTGATGATGTTGTAGTAGTTAAAGTAGTTGTTGCAGTAGTTGTTGCAGTAGTTGTTGCAGTCGTTGCTGAAGTGGTTGTTGCAGTAGTTGATGATGTTGTAGTTAAAGTAGTTGTTACAGTAGTTGTTTCAGTATTTATTGTAGTTGTTGTTGCAGTTGTAGTAGTATTTGCTGTTGTAGTAGTTGTAGTTGTTGCAGTACTTTTTTCAGTATTTGTTGTAGTTTCTGTTGCTGTAGTTGTAGTTGCTGTAGTAATAGTTGTAGTTGTTGCTGTTGTTGTAGTAGTTGAAGTAGTTGTTTCAGCAGTTGATGTAGTAGTTGCTGGTGTGTAGTTGTTGCAGTAGTTGTTGCAGTCGTTGCTGAAGTGGTTGTTGCAGTCGTTGTCGTAGTAATAGTTGCAGTAGTTGTTGCAGTGGTTGATGATGTTGTAGTAGTTAAGTAGTTGTTGCAGTAGTTGCAGTCGTTGCTGAAGTGGTTGTTGCAGTAGTTGATGATGTTGTAGTTAAAGTAGTTGTTACAGTAGTTGTTTCAGTATTTGTTTTAGTTGTTGTTGCAGTTGTAGTATTTGCTGTTGTAGTATTTGCTGTTGTACTATTTGCTGTTGTAGTAGTTGCTGTTGTAGTAGTTGTAGTTGTTGCAGTACTTTTTTCAGTATTTGTTGTAGTTTCTGTTGCTGAAGTGGTTGTTGCAGTAGTTGATGATGTTGTAGTTAAAGTAGTTGTTACAGTAGTTGTTTCAGTATTTGTTGTAGTTGCTGCAGTTGTTGTATTTGTTGTAGTTGTTGCAGTTGTAGTAGTATTTGCTGTTATACTATTTGCTGTTGTAGTAGTTGCTGTTGTAGTAGTTGTAGTTGTTGCAGTACTTTTTTCAGTATTTGTTTAGTTTTAGTGCTGTTGTTGTAGTTGCTGTAGTAATTGTAGTTGTTGCTGTTGTTGTAGTAGTTGAAGTAGTTGTTTCAGCAGTTGATGTAGTAGTTGCTGGTGTTGTAGTTGTAGTAGTTGAATAAGTTGCAGTAGTTGTTGCAGTAGTTGTTGCAGTAGTTGTTTCAGTAGTTGATGATGATGTAGTAGTTAAAGTAGTTGTTGCAGTGGTTGTTGCAGTAGTTGATGATGTTGTAGTTAAAGTAGTTGTTTCAGTATTTGTTGTAGTTGCTGCAGTTGTTGTAGTTGTTGTTGCAGTTGTAGTAGTATTTGCTGTTGTACTATTTGCTGTTGTAGTAGTTTGCTGTTTTAGTAGTTGTAGTTGTTGCAGTACTTTTTTCAGTATTTGTTGTAGTTTCTGTTGCTGTAGTTGTAGTTGCTGTAGTAATAGTTGTAGTTGTTGCTGTTGTAGTAGTTGAAGTAGTTTGTTTCAGCAGTTGCTGTAGTAGTTGCTGGTGTTGTAGTTGTAGTAGTTGAATAAGTTGCGGTAGTTGTTGCAGTAGTTGATGATGTTGTAGTAGTTAAAGTAGTTGTTGCAGTAGTTGTTGCAGTAGTTGTTGCAGTCGTTGCTGAAGTGGTTGTTGCAGTAGTTGATGATGTTGTAGTTAAAGTAGTTGTTACAGTATTTGTTGTAGTTGCTGCAGTTGTTGTATTTATTGTAGTTGTTGTTGCAGTTGTAGTAGTATTTGCTGTTGTAGTAGTTGTAGTTGTTGCAGTACTTTTTTCAGTATTTGTTGTAGTTTCTGTTGCTGTAGTTGTAGTTGCTGTAGTAATAGTTGTAGTTGTTGCTGTTGTAGTAGTTGAAGTAGTTGTTTCAGCAGTTGATGTAGTAGTTGCTGGTGGTGTAGTTGTTGCAGTAGTTGTTGCAGTCGTTTGCTGAAGTGGTTGTTGCAGTCGTTGTCGTAGTAATAGTTGCAAGTAGTTGTTGCAGTGGTTTGATGATGTGTAGTGTTAAAGTAGTTGTTGCAGTCGTTGCTTGAGTGGTTGTTGCAGTCGTCGTCGTAGTAATAGTTGCAGTAGTTGTTGCAGTCGTTGCTGAAGCGGTTGTTGCAGTAGTTGATGATGTTTAGTTAAAGTAGTTGTTACAGTAGTTGTTTTCAGTATTTGTTGTACTTGCTGCAGTTGTTGTATTTATTGTAGTTGTTGCAGTTGTAGTGTATTTATATTTTGCTGTTGTAGTAGTTGTAGTTGTTGCAGTACTTTTTTCAGTATTTGTTGTAGTTTCTGTTGCTGTAGTTGTAGTTGCTGTAGTAATAGTTGTAGTTGTTGCTGTTGTTGTAGTAGTTGTTTCAGCAGTTGATGTAGTAGTTGCTGGTGTTGTAGTTGTAGTAGTTGAATAAGTTGCGGTAGTTGTTGCAGTTCGTTGCTGAAGTGGTTGTTTGCAGTAGTTGATGATGTTGTAGTTAAAGTAGTTGTTTCAGTATTTGTTGTAACTTTGCTGCAGTTGTTGTAGTTGTTGTTGCGGTTGTAGTAGTATTTGCTGTTGTAGTAGTTGTAGTTGTTGCAGTACTTTTTTCAGCATTTGTTGTAGTTTCTGTTGCTGTAGTTGCTGTAGTACTAGTTGTAGTTGTTGCTGTTGTTGTAGTAGTTGCAGTAGTAGTATTTCATATTTCCGTAGCTTTTCAAAACTCCTATCCTTTATCAAGATACTGCTCACTGTATTTTTGGTAACACTTTCACACTTTTTGACATGTTTTTTTTTTTTGCTTTTTTCTTGCGCAGGTTCAACTCGAGCATGCAGAGGTGCTTCACGGGGAAGTCCAAGAAGAACGTCGCCAACGGCAACGCGGCGGTGACCAGCAGTGAAATGGAAGATGGTAGTATGAGCACTGAGTTTATGTGGGACGATGACCCCACCTCCCCCCTCCTCTCCCCAGGTGAGGCTAACCAGACAGGCCCAGGGAGGGACTACTGCACATTTACAAATACTAATACTACGTGTGACCAATTCTGGCTTTTACTAAATCTTTTCTACTAAAAATTGTAGTTCTGATTTCTTCTATTTACTTGTGAAATTACAGTATGGTGCAAAGATTTATATAAATAATATATTCAATAATAATCAAAATAGGCAATAGTGGATGTAGTAAATGTAGTAGTGGTAATTAAGCTTTATTTTGGGTAGAGTAGCGTTACTTCAAAATAATATTAGTCAAGTAAAAGTAAAAAGTAGTGGTCCAAGTAAGAATAAAACAGTATTAGGGAAAACTACATAATACATAATAATAACAATGCACAAAATTTGGTATTTTTAAAGGACACAAAAATGAGACAAACTAAACAAATGTTGGCAAATGGGGTAATGATTTTCAGAATAATTTGCGTAAGTATTTGTGGTATGAGTAGTGGTAGTAGTAGTTATTGCAGTAGCAGCAGCAGTAGTCGTAAAGTTCACAAGTGGAGTAGTAGTATAGTTTTAGCAGTTCTGTAGTAGTAGTAGTAGTAGTAGTAGTAGTAGTAGAGTAGAAGCAGCAGTAGAGTTAATGGAAGCATGGCACTGACAGATGACATAAAGCACAAGCAAGAAATGCAGTATTCCTAGTTAAAATGTAGTATATATGGTGTATATTTATGTAAAAATTTCCTAAACCTTTGCACTTTACTGTAAATACTTCTCCAGTCCTTTTGTCTTCTAGAACTGCCTCACCAAAGATGATCTATTTACATATCCATGTTAAATTTGCCACAGTGATAATAATCCAATTGTCTAAAAATCCATATATTGGCAGATGTGTCTTGCCCAAGGAGACAACAGTATTTTGGAATTGGACACAGGATTGAACCAGCAACCTTCTTGATTGTGATAGAACTCTGATACTGAAGCATTTATAAAACATTTGGTGATGCAGTTTGTCTCGTAGGACGGCTTTCTTGGCTAATAACCAGAGGTGGAAAGAGACTAGAAGGTTTTCAGTTGTAGTTTGTAGTAGTAGTAGTAGTAGTAGTAGTAGTAGTAGTAGTAGTAGTAGTAGTAGTAGTAGTAGTAGTAGTAGTAGTAGTAGTAGTAGTAGTAGTAGTAGTAGTAGTAGTAGTAGTAGTAGTAGTAGTAGTAGTAGTAGAAGAAGCTGAAATTGGATAGAATCTGTACTTTGCATAGTTAAGTATAAGTGGTAGTGGTTGTAGTACGTGACGGTGGTAGGTGGTAGGTAGTAGTAGTAGTAGTACACAACTAGCAATCACAGTAGCAGGATGACACCTGTACTGTGTACTATGTGTACAATAGTTAAAAGTATTTAAACTTCTAGTCATAGTATTCACAGTGAACAAAATAGTAGTAGGTAATGGTTGTGTTGTAGTAGTAGTGGTGGTAATAGTAGTAATAGTAGTGGTAATAGTAGTAGTAGAGGCAGTGGTAGTATTAGTAGAGGTAGTAGTAATGGAGGCAGTGATGGTAGTAGTAGATGCAGTGGTAGTAGTGGTAGTAGTGGTAGTAGTAGAGGCATTGGTAGTATTAGAAGAAGTAGTGGTAGTGTAGTAGTAGTAGTAGTAGTAGTAGTAGTAGTGGTAGTAGTAGTGGTAGAGGTAGAGGTAGAGGTAGTAGTAATGGAGGCAGTGATGGTAGTAGTAGAGGCATTGGTAGTAGTGGTAGTAGTAGAGGCAGTGGTAGTAGTAGGAGAGGCATTGGTAGTAGTGGTAGTAGTAGAGGCAGTGGTAGTAGTGGTAGTAGTAGTAGTAGTAGGTAGTAGAAGTGGTAGTAGTAGTAGAGGCAGTGGTAGTAGTGTAGTAGTAGTAGTAGTAGTAGTAGAGGCAGTGGTAGTTGTAAGTTGTAATTTTAGACGTTAGTGTAGTGGTAGTAGCAGTAGTAGTTAGTTGTCATAGAGGTATTTTAGTGGTAGTAATTAGTACTAGGCCTAGGAGTAGAGTTGGTAATTAGTAATAGTTAGTAATGGTTGGTAATTGTGCTATTAGAAGGTAGTAGTAAGTAGTGGTAGTGGTGGTAGAGATGGTAATAGAGGTACTAGCAGGTATTAGTAGTACTAGTAGAATTCTAGTAGTATTCTAGCTGCAGTCGTCTTCCACCTCTGCCAATAACCACTTCCAGCTGCCAGACTCTGTAGTAGTTGTGTCTGCGCTTTGGCCTGTGTGGCTCTTTAACCTGCCTGTCTGTTTAGCCTGACTAAACCTCTGCTCTAGTCTGTCTGCAGGGAGCGGCTAGTATTCAGCTGCCCCCTACTCCACGCCGCAAGGTAACCAAGTAAAAGTAATAAAGTACTTCAGTATACATTTTAGGTATCTGTACTTTACTTAAACTTAAACTTTTTACAGCTACGTTTTTGAACAGGACTGAAAAGTATTTTGGATGATTGTTTGAGACGAGGCTGAGGGGTTTTATTTTAACACGTTCATAATTTGAGCGATAATTTGAGCAATTTCAAAATTCAGCACAAATATTTATCAGAATTGGTACATTTGAAGCTTTATTAGATCTCAAAATCTGCGCGAAACACTTTAACTTTTTACCCTTGAACATTTTTAAACGAGAATTTTAATACTTTTTTCTTAAAGGTGCATTATGCAACTTTTTTTTTTTGGAGGTCCGTCACCTGCTTGTTTCTATGGATACTAGGGCTGGGTTCATTCAAAAGTTGCCGATATGATACAGATCTCGATACAGCGAGTGTGCGATTGATACGATTCAATACAATATATTTCAAACTGATTCGATACAGTTAAAAAGAAATAAAAGCTAAATCATGGCTGTGATACTAAAAGTCTTTGTTAAACCATTACAAAAACATAAACATAAACCTTTGTTCTTGTGCAAAGTTCATATGAAACACAAACATTTTAATCATCAAAACAGTGAAAATGTCAAATGTGTCACATAAATGCGTTTCCTTCCTCTAAACAAGCAACAAAACTGTAGCTCTGTAACAAAACACTTTAGTAAAATAAACCAAGAAATACTCTTGGAGATATGTATCGATATAGCAGCCCACGATATCAACACTGTATCATCACATTAAATGATACGATATATCGATATTTCAATATTTTTGCAACACCCCTAATGGAGATGTCATTGCTCTGCCTGAAATGTTCCACAGTGTGACATTAAACAGCTCTACTTTACATTTATTCAATTACAGGTGGTTTTATAGTTCAGATACCTAAAAAAACAAAAACAAAACGGGCATTGTGACTGTGAGTGGGGTCGCCACTCCACAGATCTGTCCTGTAACTTGGTCTGGTTTGATCTAGTCAACCTGGGCCACCTAGTGTCTCTGCTCAATTTGATTTCTAGACGGTTTGTAAAAACCCCGGAGGTGCGAGTTCGGGCATCAGCCAATCAGTGAACAGTCAGACATTCAGTGTTGGTAACGATTCCCGAGATCGAGGATTTAAAGCCAGAACAAAGAGAATGTTTGGTGAATTTTATCAAGAGGAAAGACGTTATTGCCCTTCTTCCTACGGGATTTGGGAAAAGCTTAATATACCAGTTAGCCCTGTTAGCGGCGCATTACATACATCACGACCAAACAGCAGCGACTGGTTAAATAAAAAAAAGTACCCGCCTACCGTTGAGCGAACGAATCCTAATACTGCGAGGTCAGACGGTTTCCACGAAGTGAAATCGGCTGATGAACTGGCTCCATGAAGATAAAATGTTTAATATCATACTCTGAAACATTCCAGACAAAGCAATAATAACATTTCCATGAAAAAAAGCATCTGACGGACCCTCCACCAGAAAAGTTACACAATGCACCTTTACAAACATTTGAGAGTGGATGTGTTTTACTTTCACTCCACTACAATTCAGAACTGGACTGAAAAGTTTTTTTTTTATGATTGTTTCAGAGCTGCTGAAAAGCCGAGGGTTTATTTTTTATGCACACAAAAATATCCAAGTAAAAATGGCTAGAAAAAAATGCTCGATTCAATTAGTTCTGTTCAAAAATTTGGCAAAATTTTTTATCAAAACCACATTAGAGCTCAAAACCTGCCCAAAATACTTTTACTTTTGAAGCACATTTTTAAACAAGTACTTTAATACTTTTACTTAAGTCGATTTCTTCATGTTGACACTTTTACCTGAGTATTTCTTTGCTCTTGTACTTTTACTTAAGTACCAAAATCACACACCAGTCAAACGATTGCCCGTACCCCGCCGCGGCTGCCTCCTCCTGGGCACGCTCGCTCCCCCGCGCCCCTCCCTCTGGTGGTGAGGAGGTGCACTACGGGGACTGTTTACCCGCATATGTTTACTCTCTTAATTACAGCGCGCTCTTGCATGCATAAAACTTCAAATTAAGACAGAATATGTGGTGAATATACAGACGTTTGGCTAATCCTTACGGAGCTTCAAGGAGACGTGCTAAGTTAAAGTTGATGAGATTTTGAAACATGGTATTTTAAATGTATCTGGTGTCGGGTTTTGTTAAAGGGACCATATCACGCTCTTTTCTTATCTGGGTTATAATGTTTCCTCATCACAAACAGACCTGCATATTTAGGCTGAGTTCTTCTCTCAAACTGAAAACACTCTGTTCCACCTTGTGTTGTCATGTGGTAACACAGGAAGTGCTCCACTGTGTTTTTAAACTCCACACAGTTTACCTAGATTCAAGGTAAAAGGAGCTGTTAACTTGAAAACTACCACTACATGACATCACAAAGTAGTCCCACTGAAATAACTAAGTCTACATTCAAACCATCACCGAAACCACTTAATTTAAATGTATTTCTGGCTCAGACTGAACATAATATAGTAATGTGCCCGATGTACATTTTAAATGATTAGGCTATTCATTTTACCCAAATCATATTCTAACCCAGGGGTGTCAAACTCAAATTCACTGAGGGCCAAAAAACT